CCCAGGGTGATGATATTTAGTCAGTAGCATACTAGGATCAAGGGCTACCAAGTTTGTTTAAATGTATGACCTTGAATCATATTCAAGGTCACAAGGAGCAAATATAGTCAAAATATAAAAAAAAAAATAACAACTTGTTCTGAATAACCAAAAGGCTTAGGATGTTGATATTTAGTCAGTAGCATGCTGGGATCAAGGACTACTATGTTTGTTAAAGTGAATGACTTTGACTTATATTCAAGGTCAGAGGGGTCAAATTTGTTTAAAATTTTGAATCGACCTCTTCTGAATAACCATGGGTCCCAGGATGTTGAAACTTTGCAAGTTGCATCCTGAGATGAAAGACTATAAAATTTGTTTAACATAATGACTTTGTTCGACTTTCAATTACAGGGGTGAAATGGTTAAAAAAAAAAAAACAGGTTCTTTTGAATGAATTTTAATCATAAATACTGATATTTTATTTTGCCTGTAGCTTTATTTTAGATCACTTTTAAGGTTACAAGTGTGAGATTTATACCAGGTGAGCGATGCAGGCCCATTGGGCCTCTTGTTTTTTTGTCACTTTGAATAATATTTCTGTTCATGTTGAAAACAAAATCAACTCTCTGTATAAATATATTGGGTGACCGTTAAGGCCCATTGGCCTCTTGTTATCACTAGCCAACAAGCTTAGTCACTGTTGTAGAGAAACAGCACTGACGTGAAAATCACCGGCCCTTGGCATCTGGCTAATATAATTGTTCACCCCTAAATTATTCATCTGCAAAATCATGTGATCAACATTCACAGAGTATACCTATCATAACTGATTTTCATGTCAATTGTAGTTTCATGATTTCACAAATTTAATGACTTTTCTTCTCCTTCCAGTCCCGGCTGATATCTTTGTACATTGACACCAAAGCTTATCAAGAGGCACTACTACTGGGTATGTAACAGCAATTCACTCCATTCAGAGTATCCGTATTATTATCCAGCTAACATATTCCACATTCTGAAGCCAAATATAATATGAAATCAACAATTGATAAAATTACAACAAATTATTCACAATGCTGTGATTTTCTAAACCGCTCTTGGCGAGAGCCGTAAAGCTTATTAATTCTGCCCAGAGAACGAAATGACGGACCCACCTCCGTTCGGCGTGGGTGCGCATAATTCAGTCTTACATGATTCCGCTATTTAGTTTCATTATCGTAAATAGAAAGTAGAATCTCTGACACTCACCTGTGAGTTACATAAAGTCTTCTGATACTCTTCTCCAAATAATAATCCATACTTTAAATAATTGCTGAAAACAAAATGTTTATCTCCGGTGCATTATACGAGGGTTGTGGGGGTGAAATTCGTGCACTAGGTTTGAGCGTTTTAGCAACTCGGATTGAGGTCTGAGGAGGTTTACGCTTGTGAAACACATATGATTCGAGAAAGCACATGTGAAGACTGTCAAGCATTGACGCTGTCTGTAGAAGGAAGAAGTGAATATATATATTTATAAACCGTATGAGTGATGAAGTATAACCTTTATTTTGATGTTTAAAACAGGAACGTAATATGACATATCGTGCTTAGGTTGATAACGGTAATGGCTCTGAGACGAGACGATATGCATACATGCCATAACTTTCCGGTGCAAAATAGTGAGATCAGTGATTATTTTTTTAGTGACATTTGGTCAAAAATAGTGAGATTTTTTCTCTGAATTCGTGAAACATTTAAAACATAAATTATATAGCATATATCATAGTATTGAATCATTTGTGCTATTCTGAAGCCTCTAATTACTTTGTTAGAGCCAAAATTGAAGATTTTTTGATATTTTAAAGGATTTTAGGAAGGTTTACACGTGACATATGGTCCAGATAAAGCTATCAATATTTAGAAGTAAATAAATCCCATAAAAGGCAAAAATTTAGAGTAATTAAAAAAAGAAGAAATTCCACAGAGATGTCCTTTATTAACCCAGGTTAAAAAAAGTATATCTCAAAACATTGGGAATATTTAATTCTAATTGGTTGGGAAAAAAATAACCAATAACTACTATTTTTCTATATCCAATTGAGGAGAAACTTGTTTTCTTCTGTTTATGTTATTTTCATTAACACTCAATCCCATCCCGACGGCAAGAGAATGAATTCCGGATTCAATGTCAGTGTCCGGTTTCAATTTTATAGTCACCTCCAACATTTCTGTTTCAGTATTAACAGCTCTGACATCTCCTTATGTTGCTGTTTAATGTTAATATCAACTGTCATCACATATCAATTAGCAACTAGCCCCCACTGGATGTAGGATCACTGATTTAATTGCTTAACAGTTCACACATCGGTGAGCAAGTCATCAAGCCATGCCCTGCTAAATCGGCTGCCGGGCCATTCAGAACTTTCACACCTATGCTGCCAATTGGCCTGGCCTGTGATTTAAGTGGCTGGCGTGTGACTTCAGACCTGGCGGTGACCAAGGTCAGTGTGAATCCATGTAGCTATTGTTTATTCACTAAGTTTGACCATTTTTTTTTTTTTTTCATGAGATTAAATTATTTGCAACAAAAAGCGTGAAATTGGGTTCCCACGCTGTGAGACATTTTGGAAGGCTGTTTTTCATGAGTCTCGCTCCTAAATCGTGAGATATGGCATGCATGGATATGTGAACCGTGAATGCTTATCAAACATTTCTGTAACACATCATGCTATTTCTGATGTATTTATTTATGAAAATGTAACAATGTAAGAACATGACACAACTGCCGCTGCTGTTTGACAAGAATTCGCGCCGTGTCAAAATATTATCCAATCCGGTGTAAGGGAAATAACTCTTATGCTGGTAAAGTCGCATTGAGAAATATAATTCAAATATATTCCAAGAACATTTGTGAGATTTTGTATATTCAATGACAGTAAATAAAGTCACTACATATATTAGAAATTATTATTAATATGAATAAAAAATAAATAAAAATATAAGGAGTACAATGTCTCTTTTCTCAATGCATGTTTTTCCACTACTGTTGATTATCCTTCATTTCACAATCACAAAATGCACCTATTCATTATTATCCATTCACCGATTGTTATTATGCACGTAAATGCTCATGTCACATCATCGGAAGATGCTAATTAATGAAAATTACAACAATGCGTCAAATAAAGAGGGTGAAAAAAGAGGAGAGGGAGAATGTTTTTAAGGCATCATTTAAGAGGTGATTGATTTTGGAAATTCCAAAGGCAACATCATCACATGACCTGATTTTCAATTAGCAGAATACAGAACACATATCTGAGGTAATATAGTAGATATTGATGCTCAATGTGTTACTGAAGCAATTAAATTTAAAGCAGTGAGCGGCTTTAATGTCACACTGACATAATTCTAGTTTTGCTTAGTTTTACAACCAAAAACAGCTAGCTAAAAAGTGACTTATTTTCCCAAAATGACCAAAAAATTAGGAATTTATTACAAATTCAATAGAAATAATGCTATATTTTCCCCAAATAAAAAAGGAACAGACTGTTGTTAAATTTAGGTAAAACAACCACTGCAATGTGAGAGGCAAACCTGAAATTCCAGTGTTCATTTAAAACTCAAAGGAAGTGGGAGTTATTGCCCTTAACACAAGCTCTTGATTATGCCGTGGCCCGACGTCTGTCACCAGTCCCGTCCGTCCATCCACCATTAACTGTTTACTTTAAACAACTTGTTCTAACCAAGAGGCCTAGGGTGATGATATTTGGCCAGTAGCAGATTATTTGTAATGATACATCCATTAATTTTGCAATCATATTGTTGTATACAGCATCTCAGTTATTACGGGAGCTGAAGAAACTGGACGACAAGGCATTACTGGTGGAGGTGCAGCTGTTAGAGAGCAGAACGTATCATTCCCTGTCCAATTTGCCAAAAGCCAGGTAACTAAAATCACCATTTTCCTTGTTCATTTGTCTGTCCGTCCATTTGTCCGTCCGTCCTTAAACAATTATTCTATTAGTTCTATTTCTCAGAAAGCACAGGATAAATCTTTCTCAAATTCCTTGTTTTGTTTTTAGGGAACATTGAAGAAATCAAAAATAAATTTGCTGTTTACCATGGAATGTGCTTCCGTGTCTTCTACGAAGGCATCTTCAATACTCCTGGGGTTATGCAAAATTGAAGGTGTGTAAAAAGTTATTTGATTGGTCTCTGGTGGGAAAAAACCCTTACCAATCGCTAGACTGATACATGTCCTTTGAAAATTTCAGAGGAGCAACACCCGACTTCAAAGCCAGTCAATTTTACCCTTATGTGATCAAGAGATTCTTTCGATGTACATCAAAGGATCAAGCTAGTCTTTTGGTCTCATCCACAAAGTGGCAAGATCAGATCCTTCAACTTTGTCATGACATATTCCAGGGGTGTAAGAATCTGACAAAAAAAATCCCCATTATCTAGTTTTTGAGACTGTTCGTAACACTAAGATGGTCAACAGGTGGCCATCTGGGATTATGAGAGTTAAAGGATTGTTAGCACTATTTCTCAGAGAGCACTTGAGGGATCTTCTTCCAATTTCATTTTAAGGTTCCCCATGGTCCCTAGTTACGCATATTAAATTTTGGTCTGATTAGAAAACTAAAATGGCCAACAGGCTACCATCTGAAATTTTCAGAGTTAAAATTCTAAGTGTGTATTACTCAGAAAGTGCTGGCAGGATCATCTGCAAAATTTCATGCCATGGCGCGGTGTCCGTCGTCCGTCAACTTTTCCTAAAAATCGCTACTAGTCATAAGCGACTGAGCAGACTTTGACCAAGTTTGGTCAGAATCATCCTTAGTGGAAGGGGAACAAATTCTGTAAAAATGGTGTGTCTGGCCCCCCTGGGGGCTGAGGGGTGGGGCCAAATAGGGGAAATATAGCAAATTCTTTAAAATCCTTCTGTAAGAATGAAAGGATTTGTTCCATATTTAGTCTGAAGCATCCTTGGGTAAAGGGGAACCAATTTTGAATAAACCAAGGGTCTGGCCCCTGAGGGGCCTGAGGGGAGGGGCCTGAAGGGCGGGGCCCAATAGGGGAAACATAGCAAATTCTTTAAAATCCTTCTTATTCTGTAGGAATAAAAGGATTTGTTCCATATTTGGTCTGAAGCATCCTTGGGTAATGGGGAACCAATTTTGTATCAACCGTGGCCCCTGAGGGGCCTGAGGGGAGGGGCCTGAAGGGCGGGGCCCAATAGGGGAAACATAGCAAATTCTTTAAAATCCTTCTTCTTCTGTAGGAATGAAAGGATTTTTTCCATATTTGGTCTGAAGCATCTTTGGGGAAAGGGGAACCAATTTTGTATAAACCGTGGGTCATGCCCCTCAGTGGCCTGAGGGGCGGGGCCCAATAGGGGAAACATAGCAAATTCTTTAAAATCCTTCTGTAAGAATGAAAGGATTTGTTCCATATTTAGTCTGAAGCATCCTTGGGTAAAGGGGAACCAATTTTGTATAAACTGTGGGTCTGGCCCCATAGGGGCCTGAGGAGCGGGGCCCAATCGGGGGAAACATAGCAAATTCTTTAAAATCCTTCTGTAAGAATGAAAGGATTTGTTCCATATTTAGTCTGAAGCATCCTTGGGTAAAGGGGAACCAATTTTGTATAAACCAATGGTCTGGCCCCCGAGGGGCCGGAGGGGAGGGGCCTGAGGGGAGGGGCCTGAGGGGAGGGGCCTGAGGGGAGGGGCCCAATAGGGGAAACATAGCAAATTCTTTAAAATCCTTCTTATTCTGTAGGAATAAAAGGATTTGTTCCATATTTGGTCTGAAGCATCCTTTGGAGAAGGGGAACCAATTTTGTATAAACTGTGGGTCTGGCCCTTGAGGGACCTGAGGGGCAGGGCCCAATAGGGAACACATAAGAAAATTCTTTAAAATCCTTCTTCTTCTGTAGGAATGAAAGGATTTGTTCCATATTTGGTCTGAAGCATCCTTTGGAGAAGGGGAACCTATTTTGTATAAACCGTGGGTCTGGCCCTGGAGGGACCTGAGGGGCAGGGCCCAATAGGGAACACATAAGAAAATTCTTTAAAATCCTTCTTCTTCTGTAGGAATGAAAGGATTTTTTCCATATTTGGTCTGAAGCATCTTTGGGGAAAGGGGAACCAATTTTGTATAAACCGTGGGTCAGTCCCCACAGTGGCCTGAGGGGCTGGGCCCAATAGGGAACACATAGCAAATTCTTTAAAATCCTTCTTCTTCTGTAGGAATGAAAGGATTTAGTCATTATTTGGTTTGAAGCATCCTTGGGTAATGGGGAACCAATTTCGTATAAACCAGGGGTCTTGCCCCGGAGGGGCCTGACGGGCGGGGCCCAATAGGGGAAACATAGCAAATTCCTTTAAATCCTTCTTCTTCTGTAGGAATGAAAGGATTTGTTCCATATTTGGTTTGAAGCATCCTTTGGTAAAGGGGAACCAATTTTGTATAAACTGTGGGTCTGGCCCCATGGGGGCCTGAGGGGCGGGGCCCAATAGGGGAAACATAACAAATTCTTTAAAATCCTTCATATTCTGTAGGAATGAAAGGATTTAGTCCATATTTGGTTTGAAGCATCCTTGGGTAATGGGGAACCAATTTTGTATAAACCGGGGGTCTGGCCCCCGAGGGGACTGGCTCAATAGGGGAAACATAGCAAATTCTTTAAAATCCTTCTTCTTCTGTAGGAATGAAAGGATTTGTTCCATATTTGGCTTGAAGCATCCTTTGGTAAAGGGGAACCAATATTGTATAAACTGTGGGTCTGGCCCCATGGGGGCCTGAGGAGCGGGGCCCAACCGGGGGAAACATAGCAAATTCTTTAAAATCCATCTTCTATAAGAATGAAAGGATTTGTTCCATATTTAGTCTGAAGTATCCTTGGGTAAAGGGGAACCAATTTTGTATAAACTGTGGGTCTGGCCCCATAGGGGCCTGAGGAGCGGGGCCCAACCGGGGGAAACATAGCAAATTCTTTAAAATCCATCTTCTATAAGAATGAAAGGATTTGTTCCATATTTAGTCTGAAGTATCCTTGGGTAAAGGGGAACCAATTTTGTATAAACCACGGGTCTGGTCCCTGAGGAGCGGGGCCCAATAGGGGAAACATAGCAAATTCTTTAAAATCCTTCTTATTCTGTAGGAATGAAAGGATTTGTTCCATATTTGGTCTGAAGCATCCTTGGGTAATGGGGAACCAATTTTGTATCAACCGAGGGTCTGGACCCAGAGGGACCTGAGGGGCGAGGCCCAATAGGGGAAATATAGCAAATTCTTTAAAATCCTTCTTCTTCTGTAGGACTGAAAGCATTTGTTCCGTATTTAGTTTGAAGCATCCTTGGGTAATGGGGAACCAATTTCGTATAAACCAGGGGTCTTGCCCCTGAGGGGCGGGGCCCAATAGGGGAAACATAGCAAATTCTTTAAAATCCTTCTTATTCTGTAGGAATGAAAGGATTTAGTCCATATTTAGTTTGAAGCACCCTTGGGTAATGGGGAACCAATTTTGTATAAACCGGGGGTCTGGCCCCCGAGGGGCCTGAGGAGCGGGGCCCAATCGGGGGAAACATAGCAAATTCTTTAAAATCCTTCTTATTCTGTAGGAATGAAAGGATTTGTTCCATACTTGGTCTGAAGCATACTTGGGTGAAGGGGAACCAATTTTATTTAAACCGTGGTTCCGGCCCCCCAGGGACCTGAGGGGCGGTGCCAAAAGGGGGCAATTGTGCTATATTGATTTAAGCGACTTCTTCTCTGGAACTAAGAGATAGATATAAACTATATTTGACTGGAAGCATCCCTCGATAAGTGGAGATTCAAAATTGTACAAATGGTTGGGCTGACCCCCAAGAGGGCTGAGGGGAGGGTCCAAAAGGGGGCAATTTGGCAATATTGCTATTAACGACTTCTTCCTTAGAATTATGCCATGGATATTGATCATATTTGGTCAGAGGCAATAGGGGAAAAATAGCAAATTCTTTAAAATCCTTGTTCCATATTTGGTCTGACACATCCTTGGATGAAGGAAAACCAATCTTGTATAAACTGTGGGTCTGGCCCCCTAGGGGCCTGAGGGACGGGGCCCAATAGGGAAAACATAGCAAATTCTTTAAAATCCTTCTTCTTCTGTAGGAATGAAAGGATTTGGTCCATATTTTGTCTAAAGCATTCTTTGGTGAAGGGGAACCAATTTTGTATAAATGGTTGGTCTGGCCCCCCTGGGGGCTGAGGGATGGGCCAAATAGTGGAAATATAACAAATTCTTTAAAATCCTTCTTCTTTTTGTAGGAATGAAAGGATATGTTCCATATTTGGTGTGGAACATCCTTGGGTAAAGGGAAACCAATTTTGTATAATCGGTGGGTGTGGCCTTCCTGGGACCTGAGGGGCGGGGCCCAATAAGGGAAATAGAGGTAAAACCTTTATAATCCTTCTTCTACCATAGGGATTAAGAGATTTTATCCTTATTCAGTCTGGAGCATTCTTGGGCAAAAGGGACTCAATTTCCTATAAACAGCAAGTGTGGCCTCCCTGGGGGCAGAAGGGAGGGGCCCAATAGGGGAAATAGAGACAAAGCTTCAAAATCCTTCTTCTTCTGTAGGAATGAAAGGATTTGTTCCATATTTGGTGTGGAACATCCTTGAGTACAGGGAAACCAATTTTGTATAAACGGTGGGCATGGCCTTCCTTGGACCTAAGGAGCGGGGCCCAATAGGGAAAATAGAGGTAAAGCTTCAAAATCCGTTTTCTTCTGAAGGAATGACAGGCTTTTGTCCAAATTTGGTATGGAGCATCCTTGGGCCAAGGGGACTTCTTTGACCATCGGGATTAAGGGATATTTAATCATTATTTAGTCTGGAGCATCCTTGGGCTAAGGGGACTCAATTTTATATAATTGATGGGTATGTCCCCCTAGGGGCTTAGGGGTGGGGCTCTGTTTGAAGTTTGTTCTCGCTATATCTCAAGTACTGGATGGATCTGTCTGAAATTTCATATGTACTTACAGCACCTACTATGGAGTGCTATATCTTTACTTCATACCAATTATTTTAAACATATTCAGGTGAGCGAAAGAGGCCCAGAGGGCCTCTTGTTACAGGTAAGTTGATCGTCTGATCCCGGACAATAACAATAGGCTAGGTAGGATTGCCATGCTTCAGCGAAAATTATTGACACTTCTCAACACCACAGTTAATACAAATTACAATGCAGTAATTAGCTAACACTCTTTCAGTGATTACCGATTAACAAGAGCTCTAAGCAATTCAATTGAAATTATTTGCAGTCGCAATCGAGGGATCGTGTTGTTTTCACTCCTCAACACGTGGCGTGAAGCCCTACTGCACTGTTAGAACTACAGACAGATTTGACTGTGAAGGGATTATAAAAAAATATGTTTATACTAGAAGCATGGACATTCAACACATCCCCTTCAAATCTACTCGAAGGGAAAAAATAAAAGCAGAATACACTATTTTTATGATGCTTCATAATATTGAAATAATTCACGAGGTTATTGATCACGTCAACATGAAAGTGAGCCGGGAAAAACATGCACACTAGGCTTAGCGATTTGGTAAAAAAAACACCATAACTAACATGGAACGGAGCCTATCATGGAAACACTACATTTTTCGTAATTATGAGAAAACCGCTGAGATGTCGAAACTTAAGTTGATCAGCCATTCTCTGGCATCGAAATTAGCTACAATATCTTTGTTTGGTTTCTGCAGAATTCGTCCACCAAGTGGTACGGAAGGTGACCTTCATGGGCTTGTTGACTCCAATCAATCGTTGATTAATCAGCGTTATAAACACCAAGCTACCTTTGATGCTACTTTTCCTGTTTGATACCGTTTATTTTTAGGATTTTTTTCCCCGGTATTCATTTTTAGCTCACCTGGCCGGAAGGTCACCGGGATCAAATATGTTTAAATCATTAAATATGACTTGTTCTGAATATTCAAAATGTCCAGGTTAATGATATTTAGCCAGAAGTATGCTGGGACGGAAGGCTATAAATATAGACTCTGTTCAACTTAATGTCCTTGTTCGACTTTCAAGGTCACAGGCGTCATATGTTTAAATCATTTAATAGATTCAAATGAATTGAACACAGTTATTTTTATTTTATTTAGTCCACTTTTAAGATTATAAGTGTGAGATTAATACCAGGTGAGCGATTCAGGCCCATTGGGCCTCTTGTTCTCAATAACGGGTTTTTTGTACATAAAAAAGTCACCGATTTCACAGATAATATCACTTATGGGTAAAATTGCCATCGTTCATCAGGAAAGCCACAGTCAGGATCGTGTTGTATTGAATTCTCCGTTTTTCCCCGTTTTTCAGTAACACAAACAGTTTCCGATCAGACACCTGAGTTCTAAAGCCTCTTTAAGTCTCTGTTGATTGATCCTGGTTAGGTCCTCCATAATGAAGCATTGTGTTCCCTTCAGTAATTTCCTCTGTTTGATGATCTCAAATTTCCTCCTACGGTGGGTAAACTTACAGATAATATTTCGAGGTTTACCCCGCTGGTACACACCAAGTCTATGGGCTATGTCGATATCTGCTCCATCAATTGTGACATTCAGTTTGTCATATGCAAATTTCACAATCTTTTCAACACATTCCTCAACAGTTTCATTCTTGTTGGAATCCTCAAGTCCCTCTATTTGAATGGTGTTTTTCCTTCCATGCTGTTCAAGATCATTCAGCTTAAGATTATAGTCCTGCTCACATTGCCTGTCTTCAGATTCTACCAAGTGTTGCTCCAATTTGCTAACTGTCTGTTTTAAATCATCATTCTGTTCCTCGAGATCAAAAACATGACTCTCAAGTCTTTCAACAAGTTCTCTGTTTTCCTTTTTAATATCCTCTTTTAGAATTATCATCTGTGAATGTTTGTCTTCTTTGAGCGTTGATAGGATAACATAAATATTATCCACCTTTTCATCTGTAGACATTTTCCCCCTTGAGATGTCACTAAGTCTTCCAGAATTAGGACCGTTCGACTTTTCTTTACTATTGCTGGTGCTTGCACTTCTGGTAGAAGCCATTTTCACTTCAGACAAAGATACACTTGTCACAATAAATATAGATGTTCAATACAGGTGTATAGGTGTACAGGTAAGTGTCAACCAGTACAGTGCAGTATACGGTAAACCTTCGGTCAGTTCGAACAAAATCAAATAAATATTGATGAACCTGTTCGGATTATACGAAATTATGCTTTAGAAAATAAGCGTGAGTATGAAATATCGGCATAAATTTCGGCGAATTGTAAATCAAGTCACAAACATATACCCGACATATATATCCAATGTAAGGTCGAAATGTAACAACGACGGCCTGGCATAGAACAATGGCACATTTATAAATGGTAAAATGATAGTATATTATTTAATTCGATGTTAATTGATCATTAAACTTTCTTCATTTCGAGATAATTATGATCGTTATTGCGAAGCAGAGGCCATTGTGTAGGCCCCAAAACAGTACACGTTTCATTTGTGACACAAAAGTTAGACTACCTAGTTTGTATCGGATACCTAAATATGGAGTCTCTGCGTGGTTAGGTTTTATATATTATTTCGTAATGAATGGTCCGTTAAATAAATTGAAAACATAGTCTACATAACCTGTTGCGTTTACAAAGCGCAACTGTAAATATAGGTCTATATGTTAGTAAAATTAGGTAAAAACATCAACATGTCTGCTTTTAAATTAAAAGTGATATAGTCCCATACCTACCAAACTTATTTGACACCTTCAAAATTACCCATCGCTAATTGGGACACCTGTGGATTGTTTGGGCTTGGACATGAATGCTAATCAGGTCACTCACACACAATGGCTGGGTGGCCGATCCCTATCGCGACATCTCGCGTGTCATGCCCTACCTGGTGTGAGCTGGGCAATAATTAAGGGATGTCTGGTCGCAATTAAGTAATCAAAATGCTTAGTTAACACTGTATTTGACAATACACAGGCGATTTCTTAGTTTGCCATACAGCGTGACATCAGTTCGTACTGATCGCATGTTATTTATGCATTGTCGGGGCCTAAGTTGCAATTTGCTGTCTCATGCACGATGTATTTTTCAAACAATATAAAAAATGAATCGACGCTAAATTCTGTGACATATATTTATGGTTTGTCTGTCACAACTGTACTGCAATGCTCACACATACAACCCATTACCCTAAACGTGTCTGTTGATCAAAGTATTGGCATTTTTCCGGGCCCGATCGCCGCAAGCTTTCAATGGAGTTTGCCGGTAAAAAATCTTACTTTACGTTCTTCATTTGACAAGCTCGGACTATCCGCAAAAGGGTCAATCAGAGTTTGAACTATCACTAGCTTGAAAATTATTGTTTTTATTGAAAAAAATACGTGTTCGAACTATCAGCCGATTCGAACTGACCGGAGGTTTACTGCAGCTGATAGTGGTCAGTAGTGTGGTCACTGAACCATGGTGAGTTTTGGTCTGTCTCTAAATATTTGGTACCTCAAAACACCATAAATGCACACAAATTTGCACTTTAAACACCACAGGCACACTATTTAGTGTCTCTTACATTTACAGAGCAAAATTCTTCATGAAAGTTGCAGTATTTGATATGTGGTTACAAAAACTGCTGGACAGACCAAAACACCACGTCTTGTTCGGTCCTCTGCGACCTTGATCCCTCTTGGTCTTTTATTGTGCATAAACAGAATGGCCGTCGTGTGGCAATCTTGGATTTTGAAAGTGATGGTTTGTTATCTCAATTTCTCAGAAAGGACTGGAAGGATCTTTCTCAAATTTGATATGTCAGTTCCCTTTGATCCTTTATTGTGCATGTTTATTTTTGGTACTGATCAGATAAACAAAAATATGCAGCAATCTTGGATTTTGTGAGATAAGGATTGTCATCGCTATTTCCCAGAAAGTACTGGAGAGATCTCTTGTTTCTTAAAAAACTTATCAGTATAAACCTTAGGAAACTTGATACATTTAGATCCATAAGGATTACTTTCCTGACATTTACATTTTAAACTATAATCTTTACAGATAGCACACATTGTGCCATTGAAGGGTAAAAGTTTAAGGCATTACAACTGTTTGTGTCCTCAGAGCTGCACTTACTTCAGGGAGAACTACTGCCAATGGGATCTACTGTCCACCCAAGCTCCAGGCTGCCCTTGACATGCAATCAGGTAAAGCTGCTATTGAATATTTATAACTTCAGACAATCTTAATTCACCTGCACTACATGTTTTTGACCAACAAAAAAGGCAGTTGTAATATATGGTAATATAATGTTTATACATGTATAACTCATGTTAGTTCATTTTCAAATTGTATAAGGCATGAAGTGTATGGAGTGTGGCATTTTGAACATTGTTTAATGAGAGTTGAATGAATATATACTGAACTCTGATTGGTTTGACATTTCTGCATAACTTAATGAAATATGTGACTGGATTTTGGTGAATTATTTATGCTATAAGCATACTTTGCAGGGAATAATCAGTCAGAAATGTCTATTCAAATCACCTGTGGTCAGTGGTCCATCCGTCCTTAAACCTTTTAATTGCTATTTCAAAGAAAGTACTAGAGGGATCTTTCTCAAATTTAATATGAAGGTTCCCCTTGGTCCCTAGACTCAAAATGACCGACATGATTTTGGCAATGATGGTTTGTTATCACTATTTCTGAGGAAGTACATATACTGAAAGGATCTTTCTCAAATTTGATATGTTAGTTCACCTTTGTCCCTTATTAGTCTCCTAACGGTGAAACGTACGTACGTAACGTCACTGTTTGATCAAACTTAAAACGAATACAAAGGACCATAAATCTCGGACAAGTTCGAATTTCAGGGTTGTCAGGTGAAGGGCCAAGTGAGCTTATATTATGCCGTGGTGCGACGTCCGTCTGTCGTCAATATTTACTTTAAACAACTTCTCTGAATAACCAAGAGGCCCAGGCTAACGATATTTGGCCAGTAGCATGCTGGGATAACCGGCTACCAAGTTTGTTCAAATGAATGACCTTGACCCACTTTCAAGGTCTTTTAATTGGTTCTTATGAATCAAACACTGATATTCTGCCTGTAGCTGTATTTTAGTCCACTTTTAAGATTACAAGTGTGAGATTAATAACAGGTGAGCGATGCAGGACCATTGGGCCTCTTGTTAAAAATTCCTTGTCAGCGCTATAGCGGCTTCATTCCTTGAGGGATTTTGATCAAACTTCACACAATTACAAAGGACCATAATATCTCAGACAAGTTTGAGTTTCAGGGTTGTTGGGTCAAGGTAAAGGTCACCATTATTATTGTCAGAAAATCCTTGTCAGCGCTCTTGCGGCTTCATTCCTTGAGGGATTTTATTCAAAATTCACACAATTACAAAGGACCATAATAGCTTGGACAAGTTCGAGTTTCCTGGTTGTTGGGTCAAGGTAAAAGTTATCGTTACTATTTTTAGAAAATCGTTGTCAACGCTCTAGCGGCTTCATTCCTTGAGGGATTTTGATCTAGCATGACATCTCCCTCACCAAGTGTTGTTGTTTTTCGGGTTGATCAGATATCCAATATGGCCTCCACAGCCGCCAGTTTGAAAAACTATTTCAAACTAAGTCAAGTTCTACTGGGACAAACTAAGTCAAGTTCTACTGGGACGATTTAATTGAAACTTGGTAGGAATGATGGACTTATGGTCCTGACAAAGTGTTGTTATTTGTCAGGTCGATGAGAAATCCAATATGGCTGCCATGGCATGGCCCCTTTTTGAAAAAACTATTTTAAACTTAAAGGCAAGTTCTACTGGGCTGATTAACTGAAACTTGATAGGAATGATTGACTCATGGTCTTGACAAAGTGTTGTTATTTGTCAGGTCGATCAGAAACCCAATATGCCTGCCATTTTGAAAGTAATAATTTCAAAATTAAAGTCCAGTTTGACTGGGCTGATTGAACTGAAACTTGGTAAGAATGATCAACTCATGGTCCTTGCAAAAAGTTTTTTTTGTTTCGGGCTGATCAAAAATCCAATATGGCTGCTTCAGCCGCCATTTTGAAGAAAAACAATTTCAAACTTAAATTCAAGTTCTAATAGGCCGATTTAACTGAAACTCAGTCCAGGAATAATCAACTTATGGTCCTGACTAACTTAAGTTAGCGTCATACTAAACTATTTTTTACTCAAATTGGTAGGGATGATTGACATCAATATCTCCAATTCATATTTCAACAACAAAAATAAATAATGTAGGACTCAGGTGAACGTTAAGGCCCATGGACCTCTTGGTTTTTTAAAAAGTTTTGATACATGTAATATTACTGGGGTTATTCATTGTACAAAAATATCACCCATGGCCACCGTACGCTACTCACAGTACACTGCTACCAAGAGGCAAAGGGACTTGGCCCAATAAGGCAAATGTAGGGTTAACATTACTGTTTAAAATCTTTCACCTCCTTCCTAGTAATAACAATAATATACAACATTTATATAGCGCTCTGTATAATTTGTATAATTACTCTAAAGCGCTTTACAACTTATGGATAATAGTATCAGTTATAATTGATAAACAGAAAAGGCATAAAAAACACTATTACACATTTAGTAAAAAGATAAATATTTCAATATGCATATACATCAATGTATAATGTGCAAAGTGCCTAAAATGCCTTTGGCAAAAATGGCAGGGCAAAACAATTTTTCTTCAGATTCAGATGTACAGTAAGGTCAAGTATTCTTCATGGATAGATTGAAGTTCCTCATTTGCTTTATTTAAATAATAAATTTGATTAACCCTAGGTCATCTGTTCTCCCTTCATTTTACCATAGTTTATGTAGGAAAATAACACTTTTGAGTATACATTAGTATTTGTCCATTTTCAACAGAATAGAATAAAACATGGCTGAAATATTTAAAGAACAAAAAGGTAATAAGATGGTATAAGAAAATAAGATCCAGCTGTGTTGCCGGGGCCAGATAGATGGGGCCCAATTGGGGTTAATTGGCTTAGATTTCAAAAATCTACTTCCTCAGATTTAAATACAATGGGATCAAATCATCTTGAGGAATGAAAGATGATTATAATAATATACAACATTTGATATAGCACCATATCTAGCTAGAATAAGCCACTACAAAGCACTTTACAGTACATAGATATAAATTAATACAATCAATACAATTAGCATATACATTAATCAATACAGTTTTTGAGGAATTCACAGGAGCTGCCTTATCAGGCGCTAAACTACTAGTCCTATGCCACCTGGCTAATATCTCCCTATGTGTGTATGCCTTCGTGTGTGCCGGAGATGTGTTGTGTTCTGTTTGTAGTGGGACCGAGCTTTCCAACGGTAGCATTTATAGTGCCACCTCACTTGAATGCCACAGCACAGATACAGCAACATCCACCCCAGACCATTTTATACTCCACCTGGGTTGTTGGAGTTGTGTGGGCAGGAGAAAAACACTTTCTTTGAATATTTACACTTCCTACCCATGTGGAAGGCCGGAGTGTTATCCATTCCACTAATCTGCCTCTTGTTACAAATTATTACAGTGTAATAGCTGGCTGGGGCAGGTAGGGGACATGTATTGCTTCAGAAATACTCAGTATGCTTGTTATGAATGTTAACTTTTGAGACTGATCAGATTCACAAAATGGCCGAAAGGTCGCCATCTTGGATTTTGACAGTGAATGATTATCGCTATTTCTGAGGAAGTACATGAGGGATCTTTCTCAAAATTCATTGGAAGTTTCCCTTTGATCCGTAGTAGTCATCTTAAAAACAACATTGCCCCCAGGCAGCCATTTTGGATTTTGAATATTTTGTTATCGCGTTTTCTCAAAAAGCCCTTTAAAAACATTTCTCAAATTTCATATGAAGGTTCCCCTTGGTTCATAACAGTGTATGTATTATTTTTAGACTGATTTAAAAAAAAAAAAAGATGGTGGCAGGCAATCATCTTAGATTTTGACATTTTAGGAAAATTATCACTATTTCCCAAGAAGAACTAAACAGAACTTTCTCATATTGCAATGATCGGTTCTATTTATTTCACATTAAGTACTGTACAAGTATATATGTGAAATGACAAATTCACTTTGAAGGTTGTGTTTAGATTAAAAGTTACCTCAAGGTATATTTCATGACTCGATCAGACATAAGAGAAAAGAAGAGAAAAGATCGAACGGACATGAACTGAATATGAGAGAACCATGGTTAATGCCAAGATCCCCCTGGGATCTCTTGTTTATCTTAATGTAGTTTTTAGCTCACCTGAGACAAAGTCTCAAGTGACCTATTGCGATCGCTTTTTGTCCGTCATGCGTCCGTAAACAATTTACATTTTCGACTTCTTCTCCAAAACCCCTGAACCAATTTCAATGAAATTTTGCAGGGACCTTCCATGGACAAAGGTCAACAAAAA